TTTATATGTTTATGTAAATGGGGATTACATTCTTGTATATTCTATTGTATTCTAATTTCTGGAACCTGTTTTGAACTCTGTCATGATTCCTGTGAGCTATTAGAACTCTATTATTCAGGGATTGGTGTTTACATTATACAGTAATTCCCTAACATAAACATTAGCCAAACTATAATATAAGCATGCCGTGCAATTTTTATTAATATAATATTATTGAAATGCTTTGTTTTTTAAAAGAATTAATCTCACTTGATATTTGATTTCTGTTACTTTAGAAACGAGTAAAAAGGAATAGTTTTTCACCGTAATGAAAAATTTAATTTTAATATTTTAACGGAGCTAAATATTTGCCACGAAATTAATGCATTTTTGTTTCTAAATTTACTTGCCACAAGCTAGTAATGAACCAAGCATGACATTGATAAAAAAAAAAAAAAACCACATTTCCACATTAATTTATTGATGTTACTATTTTTATTATTATTAGAAAAATACAAAAACAGCTATTGAGGTATCTGATTATTACATTTTTTTAAAATAAAAAAAAAATCCAATTAAGGTGAAAATAAATTTATATTTTCTATTTCACAGTTTTATCTATATACTAATGATGAGACTTCTAAATTTTCTTTTATTCTTTTCTTGATTTAATTTAGATAAGGAATTACCCTTTTTTTGCTCGACCGAAGCACTGCTGATTGCACCATGTATCCCAAGCTCCGTGTCTATGGAAGCTAAGGAGAAGAAAAGACAATTAGTCATCTCGAGGGGAGGAGAAAATAATAATGCTATTTGAAATCGCTCATTATTGTAATCGTCTTAAGTGGCATATATGAACGATTCCGATATTGAACGATTGCAAATAACATTATTTAGGGAAAAATGAGTACGAAATCAACTTTGGTGTTGACTTAGACGAACTAAGTATTTTATCGTACTTATGAAGATTTTCAACGTTAAAAGGCTATTAAGATACGTAGTTGATGTGATTAAATTGAATGTGCTGATTGTCATTGTCATCGAACTCCTAAAGTAAAACAATTATGCTACACTTACAATTCTCCTTCACAGCCTCCTTCACAGTCCACTCACATAGAGGTGGTGGGCCCCACTCACGTGTGAGAGGACTGTGAAATTTACTGTGAAGGGGGACTGTACATTTAGCAAAATTGAAAGTAAAATGCAACGTGCCAACTTTTATCAATAACAATGATGTCGACGAAAATCATTACCTGTCAATATGTCAAATGGAAAAACCCCAACAACATCATTTGTGAATAATAACACTCGATTAATTTTTTAATTACTTGAAATTAATTTTGGATTATATCTGTTATGGAAAATAAAAAAATAATTTGAAAAAAACAAAGTTATCTGTGTAATTTACTCCAAGGCGAAGGACCACGAGACAAACATGGAACCGAATATTAATTTTCGGACAACGCCTCACCAAACCAATATACGGTTTCGACAACATTAGGATCTCTGGAAAGCCACGTAATCCCTCTCTCTCGCTCTCTGTTTTCATTCGCTAATCTTAATTTCGCCGACACTAGTTTACCCGCACAAATTAACTACAAAACCAGCGAATGGAACAAATATTATAGTTCACGCTTCTAATTTACGAAAACACGAATGATCTTCTATTGTAATATTATTTAATTTCGTTGTCTTGTTCAGAAATTGAATGTTTTGGTGTCCTGTTCGTGTGCGCAATTATTTTATCCCTGGTCTTTACGAATAGGTTAATGAAGGGTTCTTGAGGGAGAGATATTGTTTCCAGTAAAAGAAACTTTAATTATAATTCTTTGTTCTGTATCATCCGAGCCGGGACCAATAATAAGCATCCAAAGTCCATTAGTTCAGGAGTCTTGCTACCAAATTTGTCAAATATTGGGTTTTTTTATTGATAATAACAATAGACTCGAAAGATAGTAGCAATAGTTCTAAAAGAAAGAACTCACAAGTAGAGAAACTTTTATGAGGGGTGGACAGCAGCAGTGAGGAGGGTGTTTATAAATTCTGGAGCAATGAGGAGAATATTGGGATATGGTAGGACCGGGATTACCGGGTCCAAGAGCGACATTTGGCTTTTGGGTGTTTGCTATCAAGTTGCTCAAGATGATGATAATGCTAATTCTTCGTGTTCTGATCCGACTCAGAGCGAGGGTTTTGCTGCTTTTGTTGATGATTTCACATCACGGATTTTGATCACATACAGGAAAGGTAACTCTATAGACCATAGTACTTGGAGTAAATTTGTATGTTGATGAATGATAATGAAATTAATGGGGGTAGTATTTGTTTTGGTAAATTTGTAGGGTTTTTGCCTATTGGAGATTTGAAGTATACTAGTGATGTCAATTGGGGTTGCATGATTCGAAGCAGTCAGATGCTTGTTGCTCAGGCATTTCACTCTATCCTCTTCTTTAGCTTTGTTACAAATACTGTCCACACCAACGTTCATAATAATTCTGCAATTTATTTTCCATGTGCACAGGCATTCCTTATTCATAAATTAGGAAGATTGTGGAGGAAATCTCCGCATAAGGTAATTTCTTGTTCTTGGAGAATTTGATTGACATGTAGCAAGATTTTGATAACGCGATTATTTCAGCCATCTCCAGTTTAAGTCTTGTAAATGTTCATATTGTCATATTGGTGTGATTCTAATTTTACAGCCACTCGATCAAAGTTATATTGGCATATTGCATCTTTTTGGGGATTCCGAGGACTCGCCTTACTCTATCCACAATCTTCTCCAAGCTGGAAAAGCTTATGGCCTTGCTCCGGGATCATGGGTAGGCCCATATGCCATGTGCCGCACCTGGGAAATTTTGCTCCGTAGTAAGAGAGATGGGACTGAATATGGAGAGTTGTCCAATCTTATGGCTATACACGTGGTTTCTGGTGATGAAGATGGGGAAAGAGGTGGAGCTCCTGTTCTTTGCATTGAGGATATTTCACAACACATTTTTGAGCTTTCTAGAGGCCAAGTCGATTGCACTCCTATCCTCTTGTTAGTTCCATTGGTTTTAGGACTGGACAAAATCAACCCGAGGTATGTTTTTATATTTCTGAGCCTGTGGATTTGGAAGTACCTTATAGTTAAAATTCTAGTTCTTCCACTTCTTCTAGAATTTCAAAGTTAACTATGCTCATGCTTGCTCAGTGTCAGTTTAGAGGTTACCATAAAATTCAATAAATGTCCAAGAATTGCAAAAAAAAAAAAAAGAAAAAAAAAGGGTAATCTGAGTTCTTCAAATGTCTATATCACAACTGTAATAAAATCACACTAATAAATGAAGGATGTGGAATACCATCTATGCATGTGAAGTCTGTTTTCACCTTCATAATTCGTCTATCAGTGTGACAATTAAAAATATTAAGAATTTAGAATATAACCAATACGTTTTTCCGAACATGCTAAGAGTGAACAAATTAGCAAAACATGTCTCAATGCATAAGTGGTTTTACAAAAGCCCAACATTCATTTTGATCGGCATCACCTAAATGAACTGTCAAATTTAAAACCAGAGACCTTGAAAGTGAATTGTGACAAGTTTACAGTAAATTCACGCAATTACTTTATCAGTTTGGTGTGACCCATTTTAACCCCCTCCACTTACTGAAAATTACTCTTGCTAATGCATAATCCTTACTAGCATGTTTCATAAGGTGGGCAAACACTTGACCCATTCATTGTGGTGCATGACATTGATTTGCTGGAATTGCTACTCTCTCGCACTGATCTTGCCTCACTATGGCTCAAGGCATTCAGCAAGCGATTGCATGTGTGTGTGTGTGAGTGTGTGTCTCAAGCCTTTCGTGAAGTGCAGTCATCTTTAAAGTTACTTTGAGTATCATAGTTCTAGCATGGAAACAAATTGCACAGCCCAAGTAGCAAGTCAAGGTGTATAGAGAAATGCATAGTTTGAGGCAAGAAGTAAATCTCCTTCATGGTTGAAGTGAATCCCACTCAAAGATATTAAGAAAAATGATATAGGTGAAGCATATCATGGCCCTCAAGTTTAGTAGTTGGATTCTTCCAATAATTGCATGGCCATGTTAACCATGTTGTGTAAAGGAATTTGGTAATATGGTTCTGGTACCTTTACCTCCACTAAATCTACAAGTTAAGAAAATTTCAGTTTGAGTGGGGGGCGGGGAGGTTAATTCTTGTCTGAATAGTTTCGGCGTAGGTTAACTAAATAGGATATTATATGGGTTATATAAATGGGATACTGAGAAAGGGCGCTTTGATATTGGGGAAAAAAAATAATAATAAAAAATTGGAAAGAGTGTGCTTTGGTGTTTGTCGACTATTAATCTAGTAATAAATGAAGAACATGGAACGAGGTCGGTATTTTGGGACTAAATCAAGAAAGACACCAGTAAATCTAGAGATACCAATCAACTAGTATACCGTTGAGGAATATATTCTTCAGGTTCCTTGGGTTTTTGTTAATCACAGTCTGTTCACTCTATGAGGATATATGTGCATGGCATACATTTCCTGCAGATCAAATTTTTGCTTGGGTATATGTTGCGTGTTTTACGGTCCATTATGCACTCTCAGTAACGATAAATATTCCTTTAATGTTTTTGAATATAATAAAATTTCCACAGGTATCTTCCTCTGTTGAGTGCAACATTCGCATTTCCGCAAAGCCTTGGTCTGTTGGGTGGTAGACCTGGTGTTTCAACATACATAGTTGGAGTGCAAGATGAGAAAGCATTTTATCTTGATCCACATGAAGTTCAGCAGGTGCATGCAATTCCTCTTTTAAAATCTCACAGTATAATCTTAAAGAGAATAGTTGGTGATGTTTTTCAGTTAAAACTTTCTATTGTTGGTACCTACATCACTACAAGCAAATATATAATGGCATGACATAGAGATTATAAAATTGCTAGAGAGGCTTACACCTAAGCCAGATTATGGTGCTTCTGACTTCTCATTTTTACGTTTTCTTTGTACAATGGGTGCTCCCTCTATCTAATGACCAAGTTGGCAGTTTTGCTCACAGGGTTTTTTTCTGGATTTTTTACTGTTCGTGAAATTTAGTGATTTTACGTGTTTGAAGGTTATTAATATATCATTTGTAGAACATGGTGTTAGGAATGAGGCTTAGTTTGTTGTCGTTAAAGAACATGCTTTTGCAAATTTCCATATAAGTAATATAATGATTAAAGTTGGTGAAGACCATGTATAATAAAATATTTTGGCTCAAATAAGCTCAGCGTTTGACCGTGTCATTGTGGGATAGTTTTCACCTTTCCTTTGTCAACATTGAGGTCCTCTTCTCCTAAGTGGCCACAACAGAATTTATAATTATGTCCATTTATTCGATTTTGCTTATGTCAGCAAGGCGTTTACTATCCATGTTAATTTGTTTAGTTCTGGTATTTTCTTGCTTTGCTTGTAGAATTCAGTATTTCAAGTTTTAAAATGTATCCCATGTTTGATTATACATGGGGAGCTCTAGAATTGCAATTCTTCTCGTATATTTTATGCTTTAACTTCCCATGAATCATTTATGAAAACCGTAATGGTTTTTGTCTCACCGTATATCTAGAAGAATTGATCTTCACTATATCCCCGATCATTGTTATCTGAAGATTTGGTGTTTGATGAGAAAAATCAAATATTTGAACTTTCGAACATGAACTGTTATTTCTTTTAGAATGACCAGAAGGAGAAAGAACGGAAATACCTGTTATGGAGAAAAATGGATTGAATGGTTAGACCTCTGTGTGAATTAGCATTAATCTTGACGTCTCTTTATAGACACTGGTCACTCGGGTACCTTCTGATTACAATTCAGCTAAACTTATTTTGACATATTTGGATCTAGGGTTCAAACTAGGGGTGGGCATGGGTTGGGTCGGGTCGGTTTTTGCCCAAACCCAACCCAATCCAACATTGTCGGTTTGTTCGAAATCCAACCCAATCCATGTAAATGTTGAAACCCAACCCAACCCAACCCAACCCAATTATGTGTTGGTCGGGTTGGTCGGGTTGAGATAAATTTATTGCACATATAAAAATAAAAGGGGATTCCCAGCCGAAAAAATAAAACATGTGAAATAGAATCTGAATTAATAACTGAATCCTAGCCAATGTGTGCCACATTCTTAACATGATAACATCTGTTGACTGTTGGCAATCCAATCTCTAGTTCAGGCTCTTTCTCAACTTCAAAATGACCAGTTTTCACATTAGACCCAAAACTGCCAAAAACCCATTACAATAGACAGCAAAAATGATCTTAGAAATTGTGAATTAGAGGCATTACCAAAGATTTGAGACAGACTACATATGAATCCCTGGAAGATCCCTTTCTTTTTTGTTCCCATTGTGGAGACTGTACGTGTCCAATTCATCTACCCTCTTCTAAAATACCAGGCAAAATACCGAAGGAAGCACAACACAAATGTTGAAAATAACTAAATGCAAAATGAAGTTTTAGCACCTTACAAATATAACATAAAAAAGTTTTTATGTTATATTAAATAACTAAACAAAATGAAGGTTGGGGATCAGATGTTAAGACCATTTGATCTCATGCAAAATGGCGTATAGCATTACAAATTTACAACAACATCTGGTGCAGGGCTACCATCAACCTTAAAACAATATACTACACTACATTCAATTATATGATGATTTTGATGAAGAGTTAAAAACTTGAAAGTGCTGATTCATCTAATAAAAACCCTAAACTCGAAGAGAACTAATCTTTAATTCACTAATATCCAGCTAGGCAGCAACTATAATAACATTAACATCTAACAAGTCACTGATATTACTAATTTCTAATGAAGTTCAGTGATTGAATTGAGACAAAGTAAGTTTAGTAACCGGTGACCGCAGATGAAATTTACCCGAGAGAGAAGGCAATTTGAGGCTTGAGCGAGAGAGCAGAGACTTGAGAGATGGAGGGTTGGGAATCTTGGGATGGTCGGAGAGGAGAGATGGGGGGATTGAGCGAGAGAGAAGGCGATTTGAGGCATGAGTGAGAAGGGAGAGACTTGAGAGATGGGGGGATTGAGCGGGACTGCGAGAGAGAAGGCGAGTTTAGGTTTTTGTTTTTAAAGGCGTTTTTTTTTGGGTTTGAGTCGGTTTGGGTCAGTTCGGATCGGGTTTGGGTTGCTAACCCATAACCCGACCCGATCAACCAACATTTTACCCACTCCTAGTTCCAACACACTTGATAAGCTATTTATTTGGAAACTGGTTTCTGCTGCAGAGCTAAGGGGCTGTTTGGCAGGACTTCTTGTTTTGCTTTTGCTTTTGTTTCTTGTAAAAGAGCTTTACGAGGAAGTTACCTTAGAACAACTTTTTCTAAAAGCCCTTCTAGCTTGACAAAGCGCTTTTAGAAAATTATTCAAACAAGTTTAAAAGTAATTCCTTAGATGTCTGCTTCCTTATTCATGGTATTTTTTTACTATATTTTGTACCTCTTTCATTTGTGGAAACCTTGTGTATGATGACGTACAAATAGTATTTCTTATTATTTGATTGATCAACAGGTTCTTAATATTAAGCCGGATAATGTAGACATTGATACTTCATCTTATCATTGCAAGTAAGTTGATACTTAGATCAAATTTTCTCAAATTATCTATGATTGATGTACCATTTTTCTTTTCCCTTGTCTTTCATTCTTCGTTTAAATGCTTGTTTTGGGCATCTTTTTTATTTAATGTTCTTGGATCGTGCTTCCAGTGTTGTGCGGCACATGCCTCTGGATTCTGTCGACCCGTCCTTGGCGATTGGATATTACTGCAGGGACAAAAGTAAATCATCTTCCTTCTTCATTCGCTATGGTTTATTTCAAAATTATCACTTATTACTTTTGCAACAGATGATTTCGATGATTTTTGTTTACGAACATCGAAGTTAATCAGTCAATCGAATGGTGCTCCACTATTTACAATAACCAAGACCAGAAGCTCTCCGAAGCCAGCCAGTCACCCTGGCAACTTGCAGGATAATGCTGAAAGTCGAGATTGTGATTCCATCGACAGGTTGCCTACTGGCGATTCAGAGGATTGTGCTCAAGAAGACGACTGGCAATTGCTCTAAACCTGATCGATGCTGTGTTCCAGGACTCGTTTTAGATATAGAAGAAACCTGTATGTAACCTTTTAGTTTGTTAAATTTTTTTTTACTTAACCTGCACGATATATTCCCCCTTCAATTTCACGTTTGTAAATCTTAATTCTTAAAAATTAAGTTGTAGAGTTATGCAGTGGGTCATTTTTTTCATTGAAGATATTCCTTGACTTTTTGTATCATTTGGATTCTGTGTTGGCGCTAAATTCCGTTTTGGTTTTGGATTGTATATTTCAGCAAGTTTGAGTAGGTGCACTGATAGAAACACTTTGTCAAATGTAGGAGTTACATTCGCAAACAACGTAGTTTACAAGAAAGTCGGTTCTCCCGATTGAATTAAGGCCCAGAATACATTGAAGGACACAACAAATAAGGATATGTTTGACATGATTTTTGCTTTTGTTCTTGCTTTTGATAGAAGAGGAAGAAGCTACCTTAGATCACCTTTTTTTAAAGGCTCTTTTAATCAGAAAATTGAGTAAACATGTTTAAAAGTAACTTCTTGGTTATAAAAACAATTTTTGACCTTTTACAAGTCATGCCAAATAGAACTTAAATGTGTGTAGCTGTGGCATGAGCCTAGGAAGAGTTGTGAGAGAGACAATTCTCATGTAACATGAGGATTATGATGTAGTTGTGAATGAATAATGTGTTTCCACTTTCGAGGTTATGCTTAAGATGGTGGTTGAGTGAATTGATAGGTAGAATAATTGCAAAGATGGCCCCTTAATTAATACGCAACACAGCACCATCCATGTGGCAAGTCAGGGCTTTGTCCTCCTCTCGGGGTCTTGAACTCTGCTATTAATTGTGCAAGAATCACAGGACAATAATGGAATAAGCTACTATCAGGAATTTTTTCCCATCTACTTTAGAGATGCAGTGTTGGCAGAAGATTAAGGGTAAACATCGACCGTTTTTCAAATAGTCCAATGACAACTATGTTAAAGGAAGTGGGCAAGAGTGTCGGCAATGTAGCATGGTCGGGCCAATAATACAAGTACTTTGGGGGCAAGATTTTAAATCATGGGTTTTACAGGTCACGATTTTTTAAAATGTGCCACATTTTAATTGCATTAGAAGGTGTTTTAAATATATTTTTATCGAATTTTTACCCCCAACCTTTCACTTTAGTACATATTGTTGGAGACGTATTCGGAAAAATAATCTGCTAGCCATCTACAAAATCAGGGGTAAATATTAGTTGCACTTTTTGTATTTGTTATTTTTTGCTTTTTCTGCTTATTTAAAACTACGATGGGTATATAAGTCCTTTTAAGCCATTTTTACAAAACTTTTGGATGGTAACTCTCCTTAAGGATAAGATATGTTATTAATAGAAGTCGAGACATACATATAACAATAAGCAAACGTTAAGAATCTTTAATATAATTAAAATGTGATGCACTTACAAGACTCCAAATTTAAAATTAATCTCCCTAAAATCGATGTTTGGATTTTATAAAATAGCCTTCTATTGGAAGTAGTCTTCCAGAAGTGGGGTAATATGAAACTCGAAAGTGTGCTTAGTCTCTGTTTGGTAAATTTATAAATGATTTTTATAAAGGATATGGAGTTGAAGAGTAGTGGATGTGACGAAATGCATAAATAATAATATTTAGCCTACTTTGATCATTTTGATAAGATGAGGACTGAGAATTTTAATTTTGAGAGGAAAATTTCAGATGCAGTTGTCAAACTTTGACAAATATGATACGTACATGTCAAATCTCTTAAGACTTTTTTTTAAAATTTGGTACAAGTTCGTCATCATTAGATAGGGACCAATGGCCCTGCCTCTTTGATCCAATAATTCAATAAGGTCCATTTGACTGCGAAAGTAGAGAAGGGGTGGAAAGAAAATGAATTTTAGGGAATTTGTTGTTTAAAAATTGTTTTACTGAGAATTGTAATTAATTATTTTTTATTGGAATAATTTTTCAACTGAAAAATGTTGAAAGTTTGGTGTCCGTTTGACTTTATTTTTCATGAAAATTGTTCATTAAAGTGATAATTTTTTTTACCATTGGGTTTATAATTTGTTTCAATATCCAAATTAAAAAAAAATTACTATACCGAATACCATTCGTTTGACTTTGTTTTGTATGAAAATTATCAATAAAAATGATAATTTTTTTTTTTATCATTGTGTCTAGAATTTTTTCCAATTGTAAAAAAAAAATTAATTTTTTTTAAAAAAATCAATCAATTCCATTTTGCCAAGAAAATGGATTCCCACCATTTTAGCAAGAAAGTCAATTTTTTAAAAACATGGAAAATAGATTGATGTGACATAAGTAAGGAAATGCAATTCCATGGCAAATTTTGTTAATCAAATAATTCAAAAAGTGAGAAATGAAATTTATTTTCCATTTTCCTTGAAAAATTAGGCTTATCAAACACAACCTAAGAGTTAAAACTCAATTTCATATTAAAATAAAAAATACACTTGGTACTCGATTTTATTGGTACCAACGATTATAATTTTATCATTTCTGATTAAGCCCCATTGCTTTTTTTTTTTTTTTTAAATTTAATTATTTTTCAACCATACATTCTTGTATTAATCACTATTCCAAAATTTATAAATTCTCCAAAATGAAGGCCAAATAATGACCAAGAGCTTGTTTGTGAGGGATTTTAATCTAATTAAAATTGAAAATACAACCGTTATTAGATTCTTCTCCTATAATAAAAGTCAACAATAAAAATTGATTTTTCAATTTTAATTCAATTTTAATTCCTCTGAAACAAGCTCTTAAATTTACTTTTTATCCAAAACTCAAAACTAGTGATCACTTATCATCCATCTATTACATAGAATTTAAACTTATATTCACTTTTAATTTATAATTACGTTCCAAACATGCACTAATAATTCGGTGGAGGGACTAGGCAGTAGGCTGCAATAATACGTGCCAGCCATATCTATCGCTATAAATACACAGTACCCCACTTGTCAATGGTGAAAAAGAAAAACTCAACCTAAGGAGATACTTTTAAATATATCTCCCTGCCTTCAATTTCTTTCAGGGAGTTTGAGAAATTTTTAGGAACACAAACCCTTATAACTCACAGAGAAAGTGAGACTGTGATAGAAAGAAAGGCAAAAAGATGGCAGAGGAAGGCCAAATGGATAGTAGCAGTGAAATGGGAACTGGGCCGATTCGTAGAGTGCTACTCATATCTGCTGGGGCTAGTCATTCTGTAGCCCTCCTCTGTAAGTTTTATAAACCAATCTGTGCATATAAGACATGAATTTGAGATTGATAATGAAGAACACATTCTTATCTTTTGTTAAAGACTTTGATTTGCTAGATTGATGTTGTTTTGCATGGACCAGAATGCTCCACGTTACTACTGGTTTTGATCCTTCTGAATTTAATGGGGGCATTTCTGTAACTTTAAGGTTAAACCTATCTTGCACAGTTCTGTAAGGACCAAGGATGGAGAATATGCATCTGTGTGTATTTTGTCAAATTTTTGAATGCCCAAGAAACGAAAATGCTAAATCTTATTCATTTTTTTTATTAAACTAAATAATTTAATCACTGATATTCTGCTGTCATGATCATGTTAACTCAAGGAGTTCTGTTTTATGGATGGTGGCAGTTGTTAGAAATGTTGACTTTTTTTTTTAATAAATGCTTCAAATATTTAAATTTTAGTGTGCAAATATAATTTTACGACCTGAAGATGATGGTTTTGTACATATCTTGCAGTTGGAGATGTTATTTGCTCTTGGGGGAGGGGAGAAGATGGACAGTTAGGCCATGGGGACGCTGAAGATCGGCTTTCTCCAACTCAATTGAGTGCATTGGATGGATTAAAGATAGTATCTGTAACTTGTGGAGCTGACCATACGACTGCATACTCCGAGTCCCAAATGCAAGTGTACAGCTGGGGATGGTAGGTTTTCTTTTTCTATCTACAAAAAATTGGATTTTGGTATTCTTTGATGTGTGTTGAAAGAAAGCATCATAAGAAATGAATTTTGGAGTTGATTATCAACTCTCACGAAATCTCTATTCTGTTGAGAATTCAAAAACATCTTGAAAAATCAAGTTTGAGATTGGTAAGACACCCATATTTCCAATTTCTAAACACTTTGTAAAAAAAAATAACGGATGTAGGATCGGATTAACGGTCGGGCTAATACGTAAAAAAATAAAATTACAAATGCATTTTTTTTTTCTACCAAAAAAAAAAAAAAAATTCAGTGGGCTGGGGACTGTAGTTTGGAAATTGTGAAGAAAAAAAAAAATTCCAACAGTGATGCTGAAATAATTAGCTCCTTAATATGATGTTCAGTATTGTAAGTTATTTTTCCACTGCAAAATATTAGGAGTTGTATCTATCTATTTGTTAAAAAAATCAGGCTTTTGTATGTCTTAACTACTACTTTAGCATTGCTGCCAAAAATCAAATACTGTTTATGTTTTGTTTGATTTCACCATCCTGCACGACCTTAAAATATGGTGCACGCCATTTTTCAGTAATCCTTCACTGTTTATTTGGATGATAGATTTTTATTCAGGAATGAACCAAGTGAGAGTCTTGAATGACTTTGATGTAACACACACACACTAATGGGTACTACTACTCTATGTTAAGATTTGAGGTTCTATTTAATCTAATCGAATTGTTCGTTGGAGGTTAATGAACTCTGATACCATATTAAAATTTGAGGTTTCATCTTAAAAGGTCAACCTTGTTAGGAGGAGTAGTCCAAATCCTTATAAATTGATGTATATTTTTCATCTTTATTCGATGTGAGATTTTATCCTCTAACACCCTCTGTATAAACAATTATAGGGGTGATTTTGGGAGGTTGGGTCATGGCAACTCCAGCGACTTGTTTTCTCCTCAACCAATCAAAGCATTACAGGGTTTGCGGATTAAACAAATTGCTTGTGGAGACAGCCATTGTTTGGCAGTGACCGTGGATGGTGAAGTGCAGAGGTTGGTTC